CACCTTCCTAACCCCTCGCCAGACGGCCTGACCTGCAGGCGCTGTCTGGGCCACTCCGAGGCTGCAGGCCTTGGTACCCCAGGCTGCGTGGCTCACTTCCTCCGCCCTTGCCACAGCTCACAGCCCCGACCCTGCACGGCACCTCCAGGAACGGGCCAGCCCAGCTCCCTCCCTTCAAGGGTGGCTGCTTGGGACATCTGGGGACCCAGGACTGCTCTTGGCCTCCGCACTGCTCAGGGTGACTGGCAGCGCGAGCTGTCCTCGTCCCGGACTGCGGCGCTGCGCTGAACTTACAGTCCTCAGTACGGTCTGACACACGGGGACAAGCACCAGGCTCCAACCCCTCACCTTGAGTGGTGCCCTAAAAAGGAGATGCGCCCCTCTGGGAGCCTGGTCCACAGCCCAGGCTTTGAGGAAGCAGGCCAAGTCCAGGCTCAGCCAGTAAACTGCTCATCCTCACTCCAAAGGCCCTCCCGCCCTGGGCCTGGTGCTTAGGGGTCCCTCCCTCCTGGGGCCTCAGGCAGGAGGGAACTAACCCAGCAGTCACTGGGGTGGCCGCTCAGAGGGACGCCCCCACCGCAGGGGAGTGCTAGCTTGGGGGGCGGGGGCTTTGAAGAAGGGACATCTCGGAGGATGGGCCAGCTGCCAGGCTGAGGCAGGACCGGGGTCCGGCCAGGTGGCCCCCGGGCAGAGCGGAGGCGGGGCAGGAATGGGTGGAAAGGCCAGACAGGCTGGCAGGGCCCATTGGACGGTGCAGGTCCCCGGTTCTCCTAAGACCCACGGGCATCACCTCAAGGCACGGAAGCTGGGACAGGAACAGCCTCACTCAGAAGCATCGGCCTGTGGGACCTCCCAGTGGACATGCCCCAGTGCTCTTCCCTCCCACGTCTCACAGCCAGGGACCGCATGGCGGCGAGCGGCACGCCGGGGAGTAACGCTGCTCCTCGGTCCAGAACTGACAATCCCCCCCTCCAGAAGCTCCTGGCCACATCCCACGGCCGCCCCCAGGCCCTGTCCCCGTCCATGGCCGCCTCTGAGGGGCAGGGCTGAGCAGACGCCGTTTTGTAGACTGTCAAGACCGTTCTGGCTAGCAGAGCCCGTTACTAGTTTCACTTTACAGATGTGGACACCGAGACCAGAGAGGTTAAGACACTTATCAGATGTGGCACAGCCAGGCAGCAACAGCGCTGAGATTCGAGCACTCAAGGCGAGAGCTCCCATTTCCGGGGGCTGCTCCATCCCGGGCACTTGCTAAGCACTTGCCCACATCAGGCCTCACTGACAACACAGTGCACTGTCACCGCCGTTCACAAATGGGAAAGCCTCTGAGAGGTGGCATGACCGAGGTTGGCCAGAGAGCCAGCTGAGGAGCCGGGATGGGAAGGGGGACCACGCTGAGCCCGTGGGGCTCCCCCACTGCCAGCCTGACTGACTGGCGGCTGCCTCCGGGGAACAAACAGTCCCTCCCAGGCAGGGGGCACCAGGGAGGCCGGGGGACTCCAGTCTCGGCAGCCAGGCGCCCAAGCACCCTGCCTCTGTCCCCACTCGGGTTGGGGACACCTGAGACACAAGAGGAGCTGCCTGTGGGCCTCCCGCGGGCTGACGGCGCAGTCCAGTCTCACCTGGAGGCGTGGAACAGGCTGGGTGCACGTGCCCAAAGTCCCGGGATGGGAAGGAGAAGGGCCTGGCCCTCGGTTTCCTTCTCTCTCCAGGGCAAGCACACACACCCAATAGCAAAATGGGAGCCAGTAAGGCTGCCCTGCTACAGCGCATGGCCTCATCCATTCGCCCTGCTTCTTAGAGACCCAAATCCAGGCGGTCCCATACCCGAAACCTGAAACCCCAGGATTTCCAGCACCGGCTGTCTCCAGAGTCCTTGGCAAGGATCTGTTCCCCCACCTCCAGACCGGCTCCTACAAGAACCTCTTTCCACGGAAATCCCAGCCTAGGAAATAGGGCAGACACGGGTGCACACACCAACGCTGAGGGCACCACGCATGGCTCGCTCCTGGCAGGGAGTGCAGGGCACAGTGGAGACCAGCCAGAGCCGTGCCCACGCAGGGCAAAGAGAGTAACTAACTGGCTGCACACCACTGTCTGCGAATTACACCTCGATTTACACACCACTGCCTGAGAACTACACCTCGATTTACACACCACTGTGTGAGAACTACACCTCGATTTACACACCACTG